CTTTAGAAACTCAGAAGCTGATCAAATATCGGGTTAAATATCGGTGGGGTGGCCGATGTCCGATATTCAGTTTTAAGGCCGATACCGATAGGTGGCCGATTATATCGTGCATCCCTATTTTTAACTTAGTTATATTGTGTGTCACTTTTTAAAAAAATTGGACATATAAAGTAGGAAATGCTGCTGATCCGGTAATAACAAAGAATGATGGATCTTCTTTTCATTTCCCTACTTTATAAAGCCAGCTGCTTTCTAAAGGTGTTGCTGGAACAGCGGGTTAGATCGGAGCGGCCAGCTGAGAGCCGCTTCAGACCAGTTAGTTTAAACCACAGCTGCTTCAATCTGAATATATTCCAAACGGAAATATTGAATTTGAATTTGTGGTTTTTATTTCTGCAACCTGATGCACGGATCTATCATCTGAATAAGTAGAAATTTAAGTGTATTTTTAACATTAACAGCACATATCAGGGATTTTGATGTCAAAATTATTTGTATAAACCTTGAAAAAACAAAAGACGAACTTAACAGCATTAACTGAGCGAAGAATTGGTGTTCTCTGCATTATAAACAGCCGTTAGTTGGATGCTGAAGATGATAAACACTAAATGAAATGCCCCAAACTTTCCACAGAAATGCTCATTAAATAGCGAGGAGGAGACTCTGTCACTGAGCTGAACCTGCTGTAGAAACAGGTCCAGGCTTTATTCTTCCAACATTATTTTATGTTTCTGACCATATGAGCAACATTATGTGTCACACCTGGGCTGCTAGTTTCTACCTTAAGTCCATTTTTTGTTGCTCTGCAACAAAGGATTCCGTTCAGCTTTTGATGAACACGTTTCTTTCTAGAAAAAGACCCCAATCATTCAAAGCTGCTTCTAACCAACATTTCAGGTCTGGTTTACCACAAACAAGCGGAGCATCTAGAGGTGAAACCGTTCTCCTGCGAGGAATGCGGCGCCACGTTCGGAGCCAATTCCTCCCTGAAGAACCACATGCGGCTGCACACTGGAGAGAAACCCTACCACTGTCAGCACTGTGACATGAGCTTCAGCGTGGCAGCCGGACTGGCTTACCACACCAAGAGGAAACATTCTGAGGGTACGGCCGTCTGGCTGTGAGGCTTTCTGCCTCCTTTGGATGGCAGGTGGGGAGGTTGACGGTCCGTTCTGCTTCTCTTTTTCTTTTTAGGAAAGATGTATGTGTGTCAATACTGTAAGGCTGTCTTCGCCCAGTCCATTGAGCTAACGCGCCATGTTCGGACACACACCGGCGACCGGCCTTATGTGTGTCGGGAATGTGGGAAGGGCTACAGCCAGGCCAGCGGACTGACGGTGCATCTGCAGACGTCCCACAGTAAGAAACCGCCGCAGGCTTCCACCTGCAGCTTCCTCCAGGCTTTTTGAACCAACTGTCTGAGTTAAACAAACCTAAGAAATATGAATCTGTTCATTTAGTGGTTCTTGGTTTGTTAGAGTTTGTTCTGGAATAAAATCTGATTTTGTTTTGACTCGCAGACCCATGATTATCAGCGAAGATCATGCACTGCAAGAACTATCTAGAAATGAAGTCGTAGGGAAATCATATTTAAATGTCAAATCATTCTGGCTTAAACATGTATATAAATGTTCTCTTTATCAGAACATATTGTCCCAAAATTTAGAAAATTTCCATTTAAAAAAAATCCTGTCTTAAAATCTTTGTTTTTCCCGTTATCTTCTGTTAGTTAGCATCTCTGTCTTCTTTTAACCGGCTTTAACGATAAGCTATCATAGTTAGCATCTCTGTCTTCTTTTAAC